GAACACTAAAAATAACTGACATGAAAATGGGTCAAAAATTTGATCAACGTTAAATTGAAAAATTTGAATGCAGATTTTTAGAGAATCGAATCAGAAGTCTTTAGAGGTATGTCACTTTGGAATCGGCTTAAGTTTGGTAAATTTATGGACTCTCGAAGTTCAATTTTGGGTCGAAGTTAAACAAGTCAAATTAGAAACAAGAAAGGAAAGCTAACTTCGGGCGGAGCCGAAGTTGATATACCCTTGCAGAATACTCTGTAAATTATATTCTCCAAAATTATTCATATGATGCATTCTTAATACTCATAAAAAATCCGAACTTCCTAACTTTAACAACAACAAAGTTATGGCATTTCCAATCGTTCAGTTATATGGCAGCTATAGGATATAGTCGGCCGATCCTTATGAAATTTGATAGGTCGGATTGATTGGCCAAAAATAAAATCCATAGAAAATCCCAACTTCCTAACTTTACAAACACCAAAGTTATGGCATTTCCGATCAATCAGTTATATGGCAGCTATAGGATATAGTCGGCCGATCCTTATGAAATTTGGTAGGTCGGATTGATTGGCCAAAAATAAAATCCATAGAAAATCCCAACTTCCTAACTTAACAAACACCAAAGTTATGGCATTTCCGATCATTCAGTTATATGGCAGCTATAGGATATAGTCGGCCGATCCTTATGAAATTTGGTGGGTCGGATTGATTGGCCAAATATAAAACCCATAGAAAATCCCAACTTTCTAACTTTACAAACACCAAAGTTATGGCATTTCCGATCAATCAGTTATATGGCAGCTATAGGATATAGTCGGCCGATCCTTATGAAATTTGGTAGGTTGGATTGATTGGCCAAATATAAAACCCATAGAAAATCCCAACTTCCTAACTTTACAAACACGAAAGTTATGGCATTTCCGATCAATCAGTTATATGGCAGCTATAGGATATAGTCGGCCGATCCCGGCCGTTCCGACTTATATACTGCGTGCAAAGGAAAGAAGGGTGTGTGCAAAGTTTCAATCCGATAGCTTTAAAACTGAGAGACTAGTTTGCGTAGAAACAGACAGACGGACAGACGGACAGACGGACAGACGGACAGACGGACAGACGGACAGACGGACAGACGGACAGACGGACAGACGGACATGGCTATATCAACTCAGGAGGTGATCCTGATCAAGAATATATATACTTTATAGGGTCGGAGATGTCTCCTTCACTGCGTTGCACACTTTTGACCAAAATTATAATACCCTCTGCAAGGGTATAATAACTGACATGAAAATGGGTCAAAAATTTGATCAACTTTAAATTGAAAAATTTGAATGCAGATTTTTAGAGAATCGAATCAGAAGTCTTTAGAGGTATGCCACTTTGGAAACGGCTTAAGTTTGGTAAAGTTATGGACTCTCTAAGTCCAATTTTTAGTCACTCTGTTACATTTCCTCGGAAATCTAGAAATAACTGACATGAAAATGGGTCAAAATATTAATCGACGTTAAATTGAAAAATTTGAATGCAGATTTTTAGAGAATCGAATCAGAAGTCTTTAGAGGTATGCCACTTTGCAATCGGCTTTAGCTTCGTAAAGTAATGGACTCTCGAAGTTCAATTTTGGGTCAAAGTTAAACAAGTCAAGTTAGAAATAACTGACATTAAAAACACCAAAGTTATGACATTTCCAATCGTTCAGTTATATGGCAGCTATAGGATATAGTCGGCCGATCCTTATGAAATTCGGCATGTCGGATTGATTAGCCAAATATAAAACCCTTAGAAAATCCCAACATTCTAACTTTACAAACACCAAAGATATGGCATTTCCGATCAATCAGTTATATGGCAGCTATAGGATGTAGTCGGCCGATCCTTATGAAATTCGGCATGTCGGATTGATTAGCCAAATATAAAACCCTTAGAAAATCCCAACATTCTAACTTTACAAACACCAAAGATATGGCATTTCCGATCAATCAGTTATATGGCAGCTATAGGATATAGTCGGCCGATCCCGGCCGTTCCGACATATATACTGCGTGCAAAGGAAAGAAGGGTATGTGCAAAGTTTCAATTCGATAGCTTTAAAACTGAGAGACTAGTTTGCGTAGAAACAGACAGACGGACAGACAGACGGACAGACGGACAGACAGACGGACAGACGGACATGGCTATATCAACTCAGGAGGTGATCCTAATCAAGAATATATATACTTTATAGGGTCGGAGATGTCTCCTTCACTGCGTTGCACACTTTTGACCAAAATTATAATACCCTCTGCAAGGGTATCAAGGGAATCAGAAGTCTTTAGAGGTATGCCACTTTGGAATCGGCTTAAGTTTGATAAAGTTATGGACTCTCTAAGTCCAATTTTGAGTCACTCTGTTACAAGTCCTCGGAAAACTAAAAATAACTGACATGAAAATGGGTCAAAAATTTGATCAATGTTAAATTGAACAAGAAAGGAAAGCTAACTTCGGGCGGAGCCGAAGTTGAAATACCCTTGCAGAATATTCTGCAAATTATATTCTCCAAAATTATTCATATGATGCATTCTTAATACTCATAAAAAATCCCAACTTCCTAACTTTAAAAACACCAAAGTTATGGCATTTCCAATCGTTCAGTTATATGACAGCTATATAATATAGTCGGCCGATCCTTATGAAATTTGATATGTCGGATTGATTGGGCAAAAATAAAACCCATAGAAAGTCCCAACTTCCTAACTTAACAAACACCAAAGTTATGGCATTCCCGATCAATCAGTTATATGGCAGCTATAAGATATAGTCGGCCAATCCTTATGAAATTTGGTAGGTCGGATTAATTGGCCAAATATAAAACCCATAGAAAATCCCAACTTTCTAACTTTACAAACACCAAAGTTATGGCATTTCCGATCAATCAGTTATATAGCAGCTATAGGATATAGTCGGCCGATCCTTATGAAATTTGGTACGTCGTATTGATTGGCCAAATATAAAACCCATAGAAAGTCCCAACTTCCTAACTTAACAAACAGCAGAGTTATGGCATTTCTGATTAATCAGTTATATGGCAGCTATAGGATATAGTCGGCCGATCCCGGCCGTTCCGACTTATATACTGCGTGCAAAGGAAAGAAGGGTGTGTGCAAAGTTTCAATTCGATAGCTTTAAAACTGAGAGACTAGTTTGCGTAGAAACAGACAGACGGACAGACAGACGGACAGACAGACGGACAGACGGACAGACGGACATGGCTATATCAACTCAGGAGGTGATCCTAATCAAGAATATATATACTTTATAGGGTCGGAGATGTCTCCTTCACTGCGTTGCACACTTTTGACCAAAATTATAATACCCTTTGCAAGGGTATAAAAATTTGAATGCAGATTTTTAGAGAATCGAATCAGAAGTCTTTAGAGGTATGCCACTTTGGAATCGGCTTAAGTTTGATAAAGTTATGGACTCTCTTAGTCCAATTTTGAGTCACTCTGTTACAAGTCCTCGGAAAACTAAAAATAACTGACATGAAAATGGGTCAAAAATTTGATCAACGTTAAATTGAACAAGAAAGGAAAGCTAACTTCGGGCGGAGCCGAAGTTGAAATACCCTTGCAGAATATTCTGCAAATTATATTCTCCAAAATTATTCATATGATGCATTCTTAATACTCATAAAAAATCCCAACTTCCTAACTTTAAAAACACCAAAGTTATGGCATTTCCAATCGTTCAGTTATATGACAGCTATAGAATATAGTCGGCCGATCCTTATGAAATTTGATATGTCGGATTGATTGGGCAAAAATAAAACCCATAGAAAGTCCCAACTTCCTAACTTAACAAACACCAAAGTTATGGCATTCCGGATCAATCAGTTATATGGCAGCAATAAGATATAGTCGGCCAATCCTTATGAAATTTTGTAGGTCGGATTAATTGGCCAAATATAAAACCCATAGAAAATCCCAACTTTCTAACTTTACAAACACCAAAGTTATGGCATTTCCGATCAATCAGTTATATAGCAGCTATAGGATATAGTCGGCCGATCCTTATGAAATTTGGTACGTCGTATTGATTGGCCAAATATAAAACCCATAGAAAGTCCCAACTTCCTAACTTAACAAACAGCAGAGTTATGGCATTTCTGATTAATCAGTTATATGGCAGCTATAGGATATAGTCGGCCGATCCCGGCCGTTCCGACTTATATACTGCGTGCAAAGGAAAGAAGGGTGTGTGCAAAGTTTGAATTTGATATCTTTAAAACTGAGAGCCTAGTTCGCGTAGAAACAGACAGACGGACAGACAGACGGACAGACGGACAGACGGACATGGCTATATCAACTCAGGAGGTGATCCTGATCAAGAATATATATACTTTATAGGGTCGGAGATGTCTCCTTCACTGCGTTGCACACTTTTGACCAAAATTATAATACCCTCTGCAAGGGTATAAAAATTTGAATGCAGATTTTTAGAGAATCGAATCAGAAGTCTTTAGAGGTATGCCACTTTGGAATCGGCTTAAGTTTGATAAAGTTATGGACTCTCTAAGTCCAATTTTGAGTCACTCTGTTACAAGTCCTCGGAAAACTAAAAATAACTGACATGAAAATGGGTCAAAAATTTGATCAACGTTAAATTGAAAAATTTGAATGCAGATTTTTAGAGAATCGAATCAGAAGTCTTTAGAGGTATGCCACTTTGGAATCGGCTTAAGTTTGGTAAATTTATGGACTCTGTTTGGGGGAAGACAACAAAAATGCCACCCTTAGGTTATGTAATAATAACGCTTTCAATATTATAAGTTTATGTACGTGTCGTGTTTATTCTGCCAGTCGAATCTGCACTGCTGCAGCCGAAAGCCTGGCTTCATATTTTAATTTGGGTTTTACAATGTAGTCGCTGAATACGTAGGGCGACAGCTTAGCGAGATAAGGCAGATATAAAGAGGAGAGCGCAAGAGCGCTACAGGTTCAGCCATACACCTATGCGCACTAGACTAGTTTAGGCGGGCTGCTCCGAACATACTCCCCCGTTGGAGGAAGTAGGGCTCCAACTAAATGGGAATCGATGGGCAGAACGGCTAACTTGGCGACGGCTCTCTTGACTAGACCCGTAGCTGTACGGACCATAGCTACTCTGACGACACCGTCCTCGCCTGGAACGACTCCTTGGATGCACCCCAGCTGCCATTTCAAGGGTGGAAGGTTGTCCTCCTTCAGCAACACGATGCTTCCGACCTTGATGTTGGATGTTTCGACGCGCCACTTACTCCTTTCTTGGAGCAAGGATAAGTACTCGCTGCTCCACCGCTTCCAGAATTGCTGCTGCATCTGTGTCACCCTTTGCCATCTGCTGAGGCGGCCTTCTCGGAGATGCGTGATATCAGGCTCAGGAAACCTTGTGTAGCTGGAGCCTTTCAGGAAATGGGCCGGCGTTAACACGTCAAGACTTTCAGCGTTTTCTGAAATTGGACAGAGTGGACGGGAGTTAAGAATGGCAGAAATCTCATAAGCGGGAGTTCTCAATTCATCGAGGCCCAAGATGGAAGCACCGACGACTCTATAAAAATGAAATTTGGCCGATTTAACAGCCGCCTCCCATAAACCACCGAAATGTGGGGCACGCGGAGGTATGAACTTCCAATCAATCCCATCAGCTAAGCAAGAGGAAGCTATCGCAGCCGTGTGGGGTTCGCTCAGAAATAGATTCTTCAGCTCGGTTAGCTCGCTCTTAGCGCCGACAAAATTCGTCGCATTGTCACTCCAAATAGTGCGCGGAGTGCCTCTCAGGCTGGTGAATCTTCTCAACGCTGCGATGAAAGAATCCGTTGTGAGATCCTGGACGTCTTCCAAATGCGTGGCCTTCGTAGAGAAGCAGACAAAGACGGCTATGTAACACTTGTGAGGCGCCTTGTTGCGGGCCTCTGCCTTATGATAAAATGGTCCACAATAATGTACTCCCGTGGTATGAAATGCTGGGTTAGGCTGAACTCGATTGGCTGGCAGGCTGCCCATAACGTGCTCCCAAGTGACAGGCTTCATCCGAAAACATCTGACGCATTTGTTGCGATCCTGCGTGCAAGTATTTTATATGAAAATATACGATGATTGCCTTTGTAACTGGATGATCCTTGGGTAACAATATCGGATGCTGAGTATCGTAGTCCAGATTTGCATTCTGAAGTCTTCCACCAACGCGAAGTAATCCATCGGAGCCGATTATTGGTCTCAGCGAAATCAGCTTGCTCTTCTGTGGACACGGCCTGCCCTGGCTAAGACATCCATACTCCTTGGCTAAGTGAACCTGTTGGATGCTCCTAAGAAGAAGTACGGTCCCCGAATTGAGCTCCTCAACGGTAATACGGTTCCTTGAAGGTGAAGATTTTGCTCTGCAATTCGAAATGAACCGATAAATGTACGCAAATACACGCTGCAACTTATGAAAAGGGTTAAGGAATTTGCAGTTGATCGAAATGTCAGTGCAAACAGTTCCAACTAGCGCTGCGGAACGACGTTCTGGAAGATCCTTAACTGCATTTGGAAGAGAGGGCCATTTTGACGAGCTTTGCAGCAGGAATGGAGGCCCGTTAGCCCATAGGGAGTGCTCCAGCAATTCTCTCGGGGTACAGCCTCGCGATACGACATCCGCCGGATTTAAGCTTGTTGGAACATGGTGCCAAGTCATGCCTTTTGTCATCTCCTGAATTTTCGCGATTCTGTTGGATACAAATACGTTGAAATCCCTCGGAGGCTGCCGAATCCACGCCAGTACGATAGACGAGTCGGACCAGCAATAAATGTCGCATTCGAAATCGATGGTTTCCTTGACGCTTACGATAAGCTCCGCCAATAAAAGCGCTGCCGACAACTCCAATCTTGGAATTGTCAAAGCCTTTAAAGGGGACACTCTCGACTTGGCGCAGAGCAAGTGGACCTTTGCTTCTCCATTGGCCTCCGACCGCAAGTATAAACACGCTCCATAAGCCGCTATGCTAGCATCGCAGAATCCATGCAACTGGATGGAAGACTGAGGTTGCATTACGAATCGTGAAAATTTCAAGTTTTGGACGATCGATAACTGAGAGGTCAACTCCCCCATGACGAAAGAATAGGCTCTGGTAATGTGTCATCCCAATCCACGTTAGCATTCCATAGGGATTGCAAAAAGATCTTGGCCTTTGTGACAATCGGTGTTATTAAACCGAGCGGATCATAGAATTTGGCTATTGTTGAAAGTGCAATACGCTTGGTGACTCGATGATTTACAGATAATTGAGAAAAGTTGAACAGAAGTTGGTCAGAAGAAGGATCCCAGGCTAATCCCAGCGCCTTGGTAACAGCTGATCCGTCGTGAAATTGAATTAGCTTCTCCTTATCGCAGTCAGACTCTCCTTCGAGGGCGCGTCCATCATAAGAACACCATTTGCGGATTGGAAAATGGCCTCGCGACAATAGATCCTTCACCTGACGACGAATTTCCCTAACCTCTTCAATTGACTCGCCACCAGAGATTAAATCATCCACGTAGAAGTCCCTACGAACAATTTTTGCTCCAATTGGAAACGAATCCTCCTCATCATAAGAGAGCTGATGCATGGCTCTTATAGCCAGAAAGGCAGCTGGCTTGGTACCATAAGTCACCGTGTTCAATTTGTAAACACTCAACTCATCCGTGGACTTCTCTCGCCAAACAATACACTGCAAAAAGTCATCCGGGTAGGACACACGCACGCAGCGGTACATCTTGCAGATGTCTCCACAGAGGGCAACTTTAAAAAATCGGAAGCGAAGTAGAATGTTAAAGATTTTTTGCTGAATTGTTGGCCCTGCAAGAAGCAAGTCGTTCAGAGAGCTGCCAGAAGTAGTTCTAGCAGACCCATCAAAGACGACCCGAAGCTTTGTGCTCGTACTTTCCTGCTTATGCACACAATGGTGGGGCAAGAAGAATTGTGGTACTGTTGGATCCTTTGGTGCGAGAGACATGTGGCCTAAGTTGATGTATTCTTGGAGAAAGGCCGAATACTGAGCTTTGAGAACAGGGTTTCTATCTAGCTTAGCTTCCAAACTCCTAAAACGACGACGAGCTAGGCAATAGGAATCACCTAAACTTTCGAATCCCGAAGTGGATAAGAGACGAACAGAGTATTGACCATTCCCAAGTCTAGTGCAGTTTTCCTTGAACAGTTGTTCGCATTGCAAGTCCTCAGGCAACAGTGCTGGCTTTGATGGATTACAATCCTCAATTTCCCAAAATCGCTTTACTATGGCAGCAAGTGCGTCATCCTCAGAATGATCCGTAGTATCCTTGACAATGGCGGCTAAGACAGACTTATGATTTGGAGTAGTCGACATCCCACCAGAAACGATCCAACCAAGTTTGGTGTTTTGGAGTGTTGGCAACATGCTATCCAAATGTATTTGCCCCATAGCAATTATTTCGAAAAACAGACCAGCGCCAATTAACAAGTCGATTCGTTGTGATTGGTTGAAATAAGGGTCAGCGAGCGAAATGTTTTGTGGAATCCTCCATCCTGATGTATTTATGTTGAAATTCGGCTGATAATCAGTGATACTGTGAGTCACAACAGCTGTGAATGACGCACGATAGCCTGCATCCCGTGATTGCGCAAAAATATCCACTGATTTATCAGAGTTCATAGAGGACTCACCGATCCCAGAAATTAGTATATGCGAATGCCTATATTTCAAATTTAACTGGCTAGCTAGGCGCGTAGTTATAAAGTTCAATTGAGAAGCGGAATCTAATGAATGAGTTGATTTGCATTGCTGCATACTATGCCCCTTGCGCAAACAGTTTAGACAAAGGTGCATTTTCTTGGCTTCTCTAAATCGAAGATGAGGGCTCAAATTTAAAAATCTAGAGCACTTTGGCAAATAATGATCTCTCGCATCGCAAAATAGGCATATTGGATGATTTAAGGGGGTCTTCTAGTCTAGAGGCTCGAATTTCGACCTTTTTTTAACGATTAATAAAAAAAAAATCAATAGGTATTTTTACTATCCGTTTTTTTATCATTTGTTTATTAAACTTAAAGGAGTACATAAAATAAATTTCAAAAAAAAAAATTAGTTTTCATTGAGTTATTCCTTTCTGAAGAAGAGGGGAAAAAAAAGAGGCCGTGTCCGCGTCGCCATGATATCTATGATTTAATTATCTGAAAAATAAAACAATGATAGATTCTTAATGAGTACGAATGTCGCTATGGCATGAACCAACAAAAAAAAAAATCTTTTTTTTTCATGAAATGGCGGCTACTCAAAGAAAAAGGTCGATTTTTTTCACTAATTTTTCCACTTTGTCGAATTTTTAAAAATATTATAAATTTAAAATTTTTATTTTTTGTTGGTTCATGCGATAGCGATATATTTAAAGAATATTCGTGCCAAATTTCAAATAAATCGACTGATTAGAACTTGAGTTAGAGTGGCGACCGCATCAAAAAAAGTAGTTTCGAGAAAAACGCGTTTAAAGTTCCAGTCGTTCGCTCAACTGGTCTAGTTGCCACGTCACTAAAACGGCAATAACTTTGAAAATAATTTGAGTTTTGAAAAATCCTTTTAGGGAGATATTTTTGAATATCCAAACTATCGAATTATGAAAAAAAAATTTTTTCGATTTTCTCAAATTTCTAGACTAGAAGACCCCCTTAAGTTAGTAGAAGACGCAATGAGTGCACTTGGGTTATATTTATGCACATTTTTTCCCACCTGATGGCCTGGTGTTTGCGTTACCAAAGCTTGATCCAAATTTTCCATCATCCTGCATCTCCTCTCCAAAAACGACTCCATAGCAGTCCATGAAGATAACTCAGCGATTGGCAAATCCTCTTCCCATTTTTCCCGAGTCCGTTGATCCAGCTTGTGAACGACGATATGAATCAGTAATCCATCCAAAATTTGCTGAGTAGTGGCCAGCGTTTGGATTGCCCGAAGATGTGCGTTCATAGAATCACTGAGCTCACGAAGACCCTAGGCAGATCCCTTCTCGACACCTTTTAAACCAAATATTGCTTGAACGTGTGCCTGAAAATGTAAAACTTTATTATCAAATCGATTTATGAGCAGATTCAAAGCCTTTTTATACCCTTGCAGAGGGTATTATAATTTTGGTCAGAAGTTTGTAACGCAGTGAAGGAGACGTTTCCGACCCCATAAAGTATATATATTCTTGATCAGGATCAATAGGGGAGTCGATATAGCCATGTCCGTCTGTCCGTCTGTTTCAATACCGTTTGCGAGCTCAGTTTAAAAGCTAGCGATCTGAAACTTTCACAATCGTCCTAAAACATGTGTACGCAGATCAAGTTTGAAAATCGCCCCGATCGGACGTCTATATCCTATAGCTCCCATAGGAACAATTGGATATATCTTGCAAGAATTTATGATATTTCGCGCAGTGTAAAAGCTATTGACATTAATCTTTACAAATCGTATTTTTTATGCATACCTTGATCAGGGTAAAAGCGCGTGGCGATCGGACGTCTATATCCTATAGCTCCCATAGGAACAATAGGGTAAAATCGGTTAAAATCTAATGATTTTTAGGATATTTCGCGCAGTGTAAAAGCTATTGACATAAATCTTTCCAAATCTTATTTTTTTATGCGTACCTTGATCAGGGTAAAAGCGCGTGACGATCGGACGTCTATATCCTATAGCTCCCATAGGAACAATAGGGTAAAATCGGTTAAAATTTAATGATTTTTAGGATTTTTCGCGCAGTGTAAAATCTATTGACATAAATCTTTCCAAATCTTATTTTTTTATGCGTACCTTGATCAGGGTAAAAGTGCGTGACGATCGGACGTCTATATCCTATAGCTCCCATAGGAACAATAGGGTAAAATCGGTTCAAATTTGATGTTTTTCAGAATATTTCGCGATGTGTAAAAGCTATTGCTGTACATTTTTTCAAATCGTATTTTTTTATGCATTCCTTCATCAAGGTAAAAGCGCGTGCTGATCGGACGTCTATATCCTATAGCTCCCATAGGAACAATACGGTGAAATCGGTCAAAATTTCATGTTTTTTTAGAATATTTCGCGCAGTGTATAAGCTATTGACATACGTCTATATCCTATAGCTCCCATAGGAACAATAGGGTGAAATCGGTCCAAATTTGATGATTATCAGAATATTTCGCGCAGTGTGTAAGCTACTAACATAAAATTTTCCAATTCTTATTTATTTACGCATATCTTGATTAGGGTAAAAGCGCTTGCCGCTCGGAAGTCTATATCTTAAAGGAGATAGTAAAAATTGTTAAAGGCTGCGAAAGTATCCCTTTTGTATATGACATTTTTGCAGTATAAAAGCAATTGACTTGAAACGATGCAAATCTATTTTACTTATGTATACCTTATTCCTTTCGCTACTTTTTCACTTTTAGCAATTTCGTCAAAGTCTGCAAGGGTATTAAAACTTCGGCTTGCCGAAGTTAGCTTCCGTCCTCGTTATAATTGTCATTTGAAGGTTCGAGCGAGCGTATGGTCTCCAGAGCCACGCCGCCTAGACTAGACCGTAAATATTGCAGCTTTTCAATGTCGCTTAGCTCGTCATCATTTCCAATGACCGCGGTGAACGTTGCGAGAAAGTCCGGCCGCTCAGCATAAGATCCATGAAATCGAGCAATCTCCAGGTTCGGTAATCGAGGCTTCCGTGTCCGAAAAGAAAGATCAGAATGTTGGTTGATGTCTATAGATGTGGAGTTGGCAGCTGTGCTACCCAACAATTGCAATTTGCGCTGGGCCATAAAAACCTCCGAAAATTCCCATCGCCTATCACTCGAAGTCTCCTTTAAATCCAGCCGTTCCAGCGATGTCTGTGCGGAGTCAAACGACGAATTTAAGGAATTGACCCAGTCCAATCGCGCGAGAAGATCAGCTTCATCCAACTGATCTATAGACTCAGTTGTTAAATATAATTTCATCGCGTTTGTTTGACGCAGAATTGATTGCACTTTGGCGCGAAAAAATTCTATTTCATTTGGCGCGTCATTTTGAGGCCGAACCGCGTTTTCTGGAGCAGCCATTTTTTAGTCGCACACAAAAAAAAATAAAAGAAAAATGTCCGAACCGGTTAAGAGGGGTGAATAACCTTTTAACCTTTGCCGCGAAAAATGCGCGACACCAAGCGTCGTCGAAAACGCAACGGAACTTTGTTGTTGTTGTTCCGCCTTATAACAGCGGACTTGAAATTATGTATATGTATGCACTGCACTATGCACTTTTAGAATAGTTAAATGTTATTCTCCTTTTGTTTATAATTTGCAGCACAACACTGCTTTGATTTTTTCACAGCGCGAAATGTACAAAAAGATCAACAGCCTGCCGGCTTTTCACAGCGCGAAATGTAAAACTTAAACGGCCAGCTGTGTGCACTTGTATGTAAGTCCGTGTGTTTGTGACCGAATGCCCGCAAACGACAGCGAAACCAAAAATATATTGTTTAAACGATATAAAACAATAATAAAACCGAGTTGCAGACGGCAAATAAAACAGCGATCACGTCGGGGTCACCAAAATGTTTGGGGGAAGACAACAAAAATGCCACCCTTAGGTTATGTAATAATAACGCTTTCAATATTATAAGTTTATGTACGTGTCGTGTTTATTCTGCCAGTCGAATCTGCACTGCTGCAGCCGAAAGCCTGGCTTCATATTATACCCTTGCAGAGGGTATTTTAATTTTGGTCAGAAGTTTGTAACGCAGTGAAGGAGACGTTTTCGACCCCATAAAGTATATATATTCTTGATCAGGATCAATAGGGGAGTCGATATAGCCATGTCCGTCTGTCCGTCTGTTTCAATACCGTTTGCGAGCTCAGTTTAAAAGCTAGCGATCTGAAACTTTCACAATCGTCCTAAAACATGTGTACGCAGATCAAGTTTGAAAATCGCCCCGATCGGACGTCTATATCCTATAGCTCCCATAAGAACAATTGGATATATCTTGCAAGAATTTATGATATTTCGCGCAGTGTAAAAGCTATTGACATAAATCTTTCCAAATCTTATTTTTTTATGCGTACCTTGATCAGGGTAAAAGCGCGTGACGATCGGACGTCTATATCCTATAGCTCCCATAGGAACAATAGGGTAAAATCGGTTCAAATTTGATGTTTTTCAGAATATTTCGCGATGTGTAAAAGCTGTACATTTATTCAAATCGCATTTTTTTATGCATTCCTTCATCAAGGTAAAAGCGCGTGCTGATCGGACGTCTATATCCTATAGCTCCCATAGGAACAATACGGTGAAATCGGTCAAAATTTCATGTTTTTTTAGAATATTTCGCGCAGTGTATAAGCTATTGACATACATTTTTCCAAGTCTTATTTATTTACGCATACCTTGATCAGGGTAAAAGCGCTTGCCGATTGAACGTCTATATCGTATAGCTTCCGTAGGAAAAATTGTTAAAGGCTGCGAAAATATCCCTTTTTCCCTATTTGTATATGACAATTTTGCAGTATAAAAGCTATTGGCATGAAACTATGCAATTTATCTAATTTATTTATGTACACCTTGCTCAGGGTAAAAGTTGCTGCCAATCAGACAAGTACATACTACATCCGCTATTTAAAAATTAAATTAATTACGTATAGCTTATCTTTTTATACCCTTGCAGAGGGTATTATAATTTTGGTCAGAAGTTTGTAACGCAGTGAAGGAGACGTTTCCGACCCCATAAAGTATATATATTCTTGATCAGGATCAATAGGGGAGTCGATATAGCCATGTCCGTCTGTCCGTCTGTCCGTCTGTTTCAATACCGTTTGCGAGCTCAGTTTAAAAGCTAGCGATCTGAAACTTTCACAATCGTCCTAAAACATGTGTACGCAGACCAAGTTTGAAAATCGCCCCGATCGGACGTCTATATCCTATAGCTCCCATAGGAACAATTGGATATATCTTGCAAGAATTTATGATATTTCGCGCAGTGTAAAAGCTATTGACATTAATCTTTACAAATCGTATTTTTTTATGCATACCTTGATCAGGGTAAAAGCGCGTGGCGATCGGACGTCTATATCCTATAGCTCCCATAGGAACAATAGGGTAAAATCGGTTAAAATTTAATGATTTTTAGGATATTTCGCGCAGTGTAAAAGCTATTGACATAAATCTTTCCAAATCTTATTTTTTTATGCGTACCTTGATCAGGGTAAAAGCGCGTGACGATCGGACGTCTATATCCTATAGCTCCCATAGGAACAATAGGGTAAAATCGGTTCAAATTTGATGTTTTTCAGAATATTTCGCGATGTGTAAAAGCTATTGCTGTACATTTTTTCAAATCGTATTTTTTATGCATTCCTTCATCAAGGTAAAAGCGCGTGCTGATCGGACGTCTATATCCTATAGCTCCCATAGGAACAATACGGTGAAATCGGTCAAAATTTCATGTTTTTTAGAATATTTCGCGCAGTGTATAAGCTATTGACATACGTCTATATCCTATAGCTCCCATAGGAACAATAGGGTGAAATCGGTCCAAATTTGATGATTATCAGAATATTTCGCGCAGTGTGTAAGCTACTAACATAAAATTTTCCAATTCTTATTTATTTACGCATATCTTGATTAGGGTAAAAGCGCTTGCCGCTCGGAAGTCTATATCTTAAAGGAGATAGTAAAAATTGTTAAAGGCTGCGAAAGTATCCCTTTTGTATATGACATTTTTGCAGTATAAAAGCAATTGACTTGAAACGATGCAAATCTAGTTTACTTATGTATACCTTATTCCTTTCGCTACTTTTTCACTTTTAGCAATTTCGTCAAAGTCTGCAAGGGTAT